AAGCCTGGCACAGAGGTAAGTATGGTGGCTCCAAGAGGTGCCCTGCTCCAGGATAGGAGCAAAACTCCACTTCCCGTCCACACTGCTGAAGGCGCTGAACAACATCCTGGCAATAGAGGTCACTTTTCCAGTTCATGTCATCCCGGCCACACAGGAAGAGGAACTTGGCCGAGGACCTCTCCATGGGAATGCGGCAATCCCAAGTTGCTGGGTCCCTGTGATCATCTAGGACATCTGAAAAATCTACTAGGCCAGAATCATCACTGGTCTTCACCCTCCCCAGATTATATGGGTGGGTAGGAAGAGTGAAGCCATCCCCCTTCAGGGGAATGAAAGAATTAAAACCGCTTCCAGATATGCTGACAACTGCCTTGATGCCAGGTAGAAATGTGGCCATGGAAAGGGCTAGATCGGCTCCTTTAGACAAGCCCAAAATGCCAATTCCCGTATCTTTCACCTGAAACATAGTTATGAAAACAACCATTATCAACTACTCCTCATTTCCTGGGCTGACAGGTCTCCAGTTCTGCTTCCTCACCCCTTATCCGACTAACACCACCCATATTTTAGCCCTCCCCTCTCTCTATCATGTTATATCACTCCCATATCTATCCCTTTGCTAAGGCTCCACAAGAGTGACTTTGAATTCAAAACTCTTCAACATTTCTCCGCCTGTTGACCTCTGTAGACAAAGCCTCTTTGCTTCCTCCACGTTTCTGGCTGCACACTTGTATTTTCTACTGCTCCTGCCTCCGACCCCTGTTGATCTTCTCTCCTCAGGTCCCCTTTGCAAAAACACTTTCTCATGGGTTTACTTGCATTATTTTCTTCCATGCCATTGTTTTTTTATACTCTCCTAGAGCTGACCTGTTATCTTCTGTTTTGTCTTGGAACCAAAAGGTTCATCACACCTGAGGCTGAGTAAGCCATATAACTATTTAAATCAACTTATTTCTAGTGAAAGCTCTTCACACTAGATTCAGTTTATGTGTGTCTTGTATGTTGTTGTGTCTGGGAGTTTCAGAGTTCTATGAGGAACAAGACAAACAAGCAAAGCTGAATTCTGCTCTCACACTGGCTACATTCCTGGTGTCCATATGCTAGAAAATAAATAACATTGTGGAATGAATACCACATTAAGTAGCATTCCATTCAGTTTAAATGCTACTTGACTTCTCTTGGTCTCTGTTGGCTTAAGTGGGATGCTATAAAAGCATCTTTCTCATCCCACATGCTTGTCTTAATACAGCCCCAGCTTTTTAAGACATGGCACGTTCCCCAGTGCTACAACTGTAAGGGATTCTGTTGTTAAAGTGATTTAATATTGTCTTGCGAAACTTACTCAGCATCAATACCCTGTAACATCTCAGAAATAGTAAAAACAAAACAAACAAACAAACAAACGATGGATTTTTTTCCCTCTAAAATCTTAACAGATGTAAAAGGAGGGAAAAAAAATAAGATTCCCTGCTTAAGCATGAAGTTTTATGTAAACCGAAAGTCTTTTATGACCTTTATGAAGTTTTATATAAATTTAAAGACCATAAAACATAAAAAATCTTCAGAATTTTTAAGTAAACCTTAAGTTTTATCCTTCTACTGCCTTGATTTAACTTTACACTAAGACTGGTTTGCACAATGATCTGATGGTTACAACACACTGCAAAACCAGCTATTCAACTACTTAAGGTTTTCATCTCTCAGATCATGCTGTCATTCAGACAACGCTGTCTCCTTATAGCATCTTAGATACTTAAGTGCATTTAGTGGCATAGAGCATTCCAATTAGAAAACCAGAAAATAGTTTCCTACAGGAAGATTATCATCATTAGTCTCTTACCTGCTGCTGCTTCTGCAAAAAGTTCATAGCTTCCTCAAAATAGCTCATTTCAAGAACCTCTGGCACAGCAGGAAGATCTTCAAAGGCCATGTAAGCAAGAGCCAGAGTCACGAAACCTCTGCTAGCCAGGAGACTTGCTCTGTATTCAACAAGACCTCCTCCTGATCCATACAAATCGATAAGTCCAGGGAATGGACCAGGTCCTGCAATGAAAGGCATGTACATATATAATCAAAAAGTTTCTACAGTCATTCCTTCAGTAGTGCCCCCTCAGCACATATCAGGACAGTAGATACCAGAAGGAAAGCATCCTCTGAAACTTTCCACAGGGGATGTCATTCTCAGGCACACTCGCAAATACTGTAAGGACACCAATTCAGGTATTTCTTCTCTCTCTTAGGAATTCACTATAGGAAGTTCACATTGGGCATCCTTCTTCCACCATGAATATCAGTGGACATTGGCCTAGATGTTCTCAGGCCATTGGAGACTGATGAACAAACAGCTCATTCAGAAGCTGTGCTGGCAGGTTTTCCTGGGGGGGGAATACTTGGGTTATGAAATGCACCACAAATGCCAGCACTGGCTTATGCCAACTCGGGCTTTAGTGTCATGTGGGTAACTACCCCTGAGCTTCCCAGTTCTCCTCCTGCAGCCATAGGAATTTCTTTTCCTGCTGCTGCTCTGCCCATTCTTATACCTAGACTTCCCCTACAAGATTTGGTGTCACAGCAGCTGCCAGGGGAATTTTTATTTGTTACAGAGCAAGATATTCTCGTTTAAGTACTGCTCAAGGAGCATCAAGAGTTCAAGGCTCAGAGCAGCTTTATACAGGATCCAGTTTCAGCACTGTCTCTGTACAGAGCTGTGAAATATGGCACCTGTTTAATTAAAGACCTTGCTTTTCACCATGTGTCTCCTATCTTCCTAAGTATCCCATGTGGTCAAGCTGCTCAACAAGGTAGACGTCTGCCTTTTCCTTAGCCAAAGAGAGAGACAGAGAGATAAGACCAAAGCCTGCAGGAAGATCCATTGCAGCTGCTGGAGCAGCCTAGGCTGGCTGCAGCTCAAGTCCAGTGCTCCCACCATGCCTCCTGATTCCTCACTCCACAGCCAGGGCTGTCATGCTTCACAGCTCTGCTGAAGACCAGGGGCCTCTTTGCCCTGTCAGCTAAACAGGAAGAGCTAAGAAATAAACACTCTTCCCCAGAGCTCTCACAGCAGAAGAGGTCCTGACCCCTCAGCCAGGAGACAACTCGTGTTACCAGTGCTGCCATCCCTGCATCCTTGCCCGCCGGGGCAACAACCGCTTATTCCCTCTGTGTGAGGATCCAAGCAGCTGGACGAGGTGCAGGTTGAGGGGAACCTTGAGCTGAGGCTTTGCTCTGGGTTGCTGAGCACATCCAGGAGCCACGGAGCACAGCATGTGGTGTCACACCTGGAAAACTAGAACGGCATTAAAACTCACCAGCAGGGAGGAAGAGGGTTGCTTTCAGACGGCCTTCTCTGACTGGAATCCTCTTCACACCCTCTCCTAAAAACCATCGTTCATTGATGCATTTTGCCAGCAAGCAGCTCATGTCCCCGGGGCCCTCATACACTTCCAAGTCCACACAGTAAGGGGTCAGCACATTCCTCTTTGCCAGCCGCTTATGGGGCACTTTAGACTGCAGAGACCACAGCAGCCCCATCGGCTCCACTCCTAAATAGCTCCCCCCCAGCGATGGGGAGCGGCTAAGGTCCAGCTCTCCGTTGCTCCCTGCTCTGTAGCGAGCGTGAGCTTGGAACAGCTCCCTGCTCTCATCCAGCAGGCTGGCTCGGAGGGTGACCTCCTGCTGCGGCAGCAGACCTGCCACACGGATCTGCACGGGGTCATCGAACAGACACTTGCGGGAAGGCAGAACCATCACTCTCACCGCCATCCCAGCGCTGCTGGGGAAGAGGAGCTGCGCTTGGCTGGGGAGAGACACTGGCTGCGCGGAACAGGATCGTCGCGAGTCAAGTCGCCTGTCGCTCCTCAGGCTTAAAATCTCTGCCCAAAGTCCAGGAGGCACCACCGTGACGTGAGAGCTTCCTCCAGCCGGCAAGCACGGGCTGCCGGGAGACGTAGTTCAGAGCACGCCTTCCTCCAGGCGCTGCCGTCGGGAGCGGCACACCACCACCGTCCACTTGAACAGGCACAGGCTGTCATTTGTTCCTTACTTTTGATTAGAGAGACACTAAATTAAATTAAACGCTAAATTAAAAAACCCCAAGTGATAAAATGAGATATTCAAATCGCTCTTCCTCCCACAGTGGGAAAGTCCGGATTCCACTGCAGAACTGGCTTGGGCACCTTTGCCCAGTGAGCCCAAATAAAATGGAAAGCCTGAAGCAATGCAATATCTTAATGCAGCTGTGAAACAAAGCCTGCACTTAATGCCTCTGGAGTTTTCAGCAATTTTTGGACAAGCACCACAAGACAAAAGGATGCTTTAAGCTTTATGTTACTTTAAAAACAAAGGAAACAGACAAAGTAAAACAATTATATATTTTCACAATAATCAATTTGTCTAAAGGTTATCTGCATTGTCTTAATTAATACATGGAAAACAAATTTCTCCCTACATCACCAATGTATGGAAGAACTGTTTGAAGACCTGATGATAAATACCATCTTCTGGGTTTCATAAATGACAATACTACATTTTTTTAGTGTTTGTGTATTTAACAGCCTCCTAGTCCTATCCTGCAGGTCTCAGACACATGACTAGTCTCATCCCATTATGTGGAAACACAAATGAGACTTAAGCCTGCAGAAATGGGCTCCTGATTCACACAACTCACCTCACCAAGCATTAGGCAGCAATTAATGGCAAAAGATTAAACAATGAGCCTACAAGCTGCAGAACCACTATGCCAGGAGACCACAGGTGATGTACACATTGACTGTAAACCTGGCAAACAACTCTAAAATCACCACTCAGGATGCTACTTGACTTCTCTTGATGTAAGAGAATGTGGCTACATTTAAATGTAACAGTGGAAAGAAACTAAAACCAGCAATAAAAACGTGTAGCTGAAGAAAGAAAATAGCCAGCATTTACTTGCACACGTCCTCCTGGGTGTCCTCCAGCCACCACATCATTAGAAAAGAGAAAATAAGAAATTACCACAGAAATAAGATTTTAAGATGACCTTTTATTCTAGGAGTTGTAATTTCTCACCATCAAAACATCACAGCCACCACTTAGTGAACTACAACTGGACAGGACTTCCGTCTTAAGTAGAATGCACGGGTTGGACTGATGCAGCCTGATGGTGATAGAGCTGATTCTTCTTTGTCCACTTGTATTGTTATGAAAATAATCCGTAGAGCTGAACAGTCATGGCTTCAGTGTTGGGATTCCCAAACCCTGGCTTGCCTCCCTTCAAATTTTATTTCTCTTACCACCACTGAGGCAACATGCAAAGACCTCAAAATGCTATTATCAAACCTTAAAGCCAAAAAAATCTGGCCACTTGATCTGGTCTCTGAAATCAAGCAAAATAGCCATCTGTTTGACAGACATTGTAGAAGGCAATTTAATGTTCAGTTCTTTTCCCTTTAATCACATTTGTACTCCAGTCACAGATGCTGATGATTGTATCACAGCAGAGATCACAAGCGCAAGTTTCCCACCTCTGCTATAGCCCTTTCACAGTTCTTGTGAGACAGTCTAGTAGCTGATAGTAGCTGTACTTTAGGTCATATTCCATGTCATACCAGTAATTCACTGAGGAGACAAGAAAAAGGAGAAATGTTTCTAAGGCTCGAATGTAATGCTTTACAAATGTGTTCACAGGCTGGTTTACACAGTTCAGTTAGTACAGGCTTTTCATGACTGATTGAACATTGAAACGAGCCAATCTTTGACTACAGCCAAAAATAACATAAGCAAATATTAGAGGTCTTTAATACTGGTAATGCAACTCTGTCTTAACCCCAACTAGCTCAACTTCAGACTTTACTGGGGATTCCTTTGAGCAGAAGCTGGCAGAACGTTCAGAAATAGAAAATGTATGCTTCTATTTAGATCAAAAACACCAAATACACTGAAAAGTTTAATATCTGGATGGGAACCTCTCTTCCCCTGTGTAAAAGATGGGAAATTCACCACTAATTCACAATGGTCATCAACTGGACAGTGCTTTAATTCTGTTTCTCTTTCTAATTTGGATGTATGTCTCCCAGAAAAAACTAATTCAAGCAGTATAATATGTACCAGTGCCTTTTGGAGGAGAATATACTCTAGCTTCAGACATTCATTGGATCAAACCCAGAGAATACTGGCTTTTCAAGTGTATACAAACTGTAGTGCAGTTAACACACTAAAGGCCAAATAATGTCAACTCTTTGGCATTTCTGCTAGACAGACAAAAAAAAAGAGTGGCTGAAACAACTCTGCTTTTTGCTGAAAGTCTTTAAGGACTGATGCAGCACTACTGGAAAAAAGAGAATCAGAAATACTGCTTTAGTGATAGCTTTTTATCACAGTATCACAAATACAGTGTTCAAAATACTCTTCCTGGGCAGACAGGATTATTCCAGACAAAGGACAGCAAAAAACTCTTCCTCAAACCTTGCAAAATTCACAGAACCTAACGATCATACTCTCTCCACCATCCCCACCCCTCCACCTGCACCAAATGAGCAGTGCTTCAAATTCTGGGAATCTCTTTGGGAAGAAATAAAAAAGGTAGTGAAGGATGATAATAAATCCTACAAAGAGATTATAAGACTTTTGATAAGTGCAGGGAGTAGTAACACAAGCACAGGCTTATTAGCAAGGTAAGAGACTTGGTTAAAGCAGATTCCAGCTCACATGACATCTTCTATGTTGTTTCTACATCCATGCCTAAAACTCATACACTTCCTGGTTTCATTTTCTTCCCCCAGGTCCTGTTTTGCTGGTGTGATAATGGCACAAACAACATGCAATTTCTTTGTGAAAGGTATGTAGATGAGCAATTTGCAGTTGGCAGGCTAGGCAGACAAACTGCTTAGCTCCATGTCATAAATAGAAACTGGATCATGATAACTGAATTAGCTACCCTTTTCCAGACTTGGCAACTAGAAAGACTTTTTACTTCTGCTATATCCCTCACCAACAATATTATAAATTATAAGCAGGACTGCAAGGAGGTAGCCCCAGGGCATCTGCCAAGACTGTTGTTTCCTCCTGAGGAGAGGTAGATGACCTTAAAGAGACCTTTGGGCCCAGTTACTCTTTGCTGTGGGATATCTAGGTGCATCCTCACCACAGTTCAGAAAGGTATCTGGACATACTGTGTATTTTACCTGCTATACAGCCATGTGATTGCCGAACATGATGGAACCAGAGAGAAGGCAGGTACAACATCTCACCAGCTCTCACTGTACACTGCAAAGGTTTTGCCTGAGCATATTCTGGATACTGTTTCAGATTTGGGTTCAAGGGGTCCAGGGGGATCCAAGGCACCTAAAAGCAAAAGAGTATGTACATGGTACTGACCCTGGCAAAAAATTCCAGCAAGCTTCCAGAAAACCAACTGATAACCAAACTTAGTGGGTTACAAAACCTGTATTTTCCCTAGTAAAATACATACAGCTAGGACACATACAACTGGGAGCAGGTTAAGGATATAAAAATTTGCATCCTTTGGCACCTCCTTCAGTGAAGCATTTCTAACTGAGAAAAAGGTGCTAAATGCCATGAAATTTCAGTCTTTGCATACTTTCAAAACACCCCCAGCCCCTTATATCACTAATAATAATAATAATAATAATAATAATAATAATGCTCCTGCATTTAGCACTTGAGTACTTCATGTGGAATTCTCCTTTTAGACATTCCTTTCTTCTAAAGAGGTAAACAGGGAGAGATTAGATACAAAAGGCTACCAAATTTCTGTAAAATGCCTGCAGAGTTTCTGCAAAGTTCCAAGTTCTGTAAAATATATATAGATCAATATATATTTGATCTGTATGTTTTAATCAAATAAATATTGCTCCTAGCAAGAAAAAACAATTTATTAATTTAGACAGATGCTGTAGATGGTGATGCTGCTGTAGAGCAAAATCTAGCCCTGAGTAGAGGGCAAATAGAGCATGAATGCAGAGGAGTCTACTGCAGTCTTAATGACATAAATTCCTTTATTGTTGATTCATTTAAAAGTCCTTTATTGGATCTATTTAAGTTTGGTGCAGTGAAGACAGTTTTTGATATCAATGGTTTCAGGTGTGCAGTAAATTTTTTTTCTGGAAGCTGGGTATCCTTTGCAAATAGTAAAATACCAGTGAAATATCTAGGCATTCTCCTTGCAGCAATCAAAGATTTCTAAATATTAAAACCCTCCATTTGAGGTCTCAGCAGTGCCCCAAACTGTCTTTACTTGTGTAATGACTGTGTTCTTTATATACTTTTTACCTTATCTGCACTCTTCTCATCTACAATTTCAAATGAGCCATCTTCTGATACGTGGTAGGTTGCTGGCTGATAGAGCTCTGGAACCACAGAAAGAAATAAATGACACAACTCAAGAGTAGTACTCAGAGAAACTAATGGCAGGCTATAGCACACTTTCGCCAAGTAAAAGAAAATTAAGACAAAACCATTCTCAACTTGCTGTCCTCACTGTCCTTTCCTTTGTCCATTCAAATTTAATCCATTTTTTATTAAATCAGTCTGAATTCCTAATTGCATTCCCATTTGGAATTCCAGCCTTCTTTCTTCACAGGAATTACTCTCCTCAAAACCATTTTACTCCTGGTCCTATTGTGTTACAGTAACTGCCTTATTTCTCTTTCAGAAGTCATAAATACATCCCTGACTTACACATTGTACTGCATTCTGGTGTTTATTCTTAGGTCAGTCTAGCAAGATAGCACTCACAAGAATTAGTGCCTTGTGGCCAGCCTTTTACTTCTAATCTGACAGGGCTCATTAGTTCTTCTGGTACTGCAGCCTGCTTTTATATCATTGCTTCAGCATATGTGCCTTTCTAAGCCTTCCACTGAGAGTTTCTCTCTAAAAACATGAAATTGCCTTTTTACTATTACTGAGAGTTTCTCTCCAAACAGATGGAGTTTTTTTATTATACACTATAAATGTAAGCATTCTCTCTGTTCTATGCTTTAATGATAACTTGTTTCACAAAATATGACTCATACAACATACATGTATTTCATACATTCATGTACATATGACACCACCTCTCCTATGAAGAAAGGCTGAGACAGATGGGGCTGTTCAGCCTGGAAAAGACTCTGGGGAAACCTTATTGTGGCCTTTCAATATATAAAGGGGGCTCACAAGAAAAATACTTTTTATCAAGGCCTGTAGTGGCAGGACAAGAGACAATGGTTTCAAACTGAGAGAGGCCAGGGTTAGATTGCATAAAGGAGGACATTTTTTACAATGAGGGTCATGAGGCGCTGGCACAGGTTGCCCAGAGAAGTTGTGGATGCCCCATCCCTGGCAGTGTTCAAGGTCAGGCTGGATGGAGCCTCAAGTAACCTGGTCTAGAGAATGGGAGGAGAGATGGAACTGGATGATCTTCAAGGTCCTTTCCAACCCAAATCACTCTATGATTCTATGATTTCAAGGTTGTAAACAAAACAAAATAAAACCAGCATAAAAAAAATACTGCAGCAGCACATGTATCTAGGCAAAATTACGTTAGTGTCATATAGCACTCTGCATTCACTTAATCTGATGGTTTGAAAATCCAGGAATGGGAAGATAAAGTCTTATTTTATGAGGCATAAAGTTAAGCTGTCCATCTTCTAGATGATACTGCATCATAACAAATTATTCTACTACTGTGCACATAGGAAAGAAACATAAACAGAAAACAGGCACTGTGAAGTACTGCTGCCATAAAAATCTCTTTTTTCATTTCTCTAGTTTTCAGAGATTCAGTTGTAACTTAAATATTTCATTAAATTACAACTTATCTTTCAGCTTCCTGCCTTTTTTCCTAGAGAAGAAAATGAGCAGGCAGGACCCAAAGCTGTTGAACATCAAAGACGGTATGCTACAATACTGACAAGGTACTTAATAATTTAAACATTCTAAAGCTGAAGAGACTGCAATTGTTATCAATGAACCTATTACTTTACAGGACTGGAAAACCTGACCTCAGAATAATGCTTATATGACAAACTACCTGCAGCACGAAATAGAAGAGATTTATTTTCACACTAGAAAGCATAACACTGCATAAACATCACAATGTTATCCATGCTTCTTTTTTTGTATCTTTCAACATCTTAGTCTCCTCCTTTCCAACCTCCAGACATAACTGCACAGTAAATTATGTACCATATGGGATGAAGGGACGGTCACTCGGTGGATGCAGTAGAAAATATTTCTCTCCAGATATCACACAGTACAAGTTCTCATAATGATCTTTATGTACTAGGATTGAGAGAAAAACAAAAAGAGAGATGTGGAGAAAGAGAGAAAAATCAGTATTACTTCCTTCTCTACACCAGAAATTATAGCAAACAAAGTGCCAGCTTCTCCTCTTACTATCAGGCTGCTCCCTCCTCTTGCTGCCAGTGGGAGTGGAAATTAACATAATGTTGTAGCAAATGTATTCAACAAAGCAAATCCTCAGTGCCTTGCATGACACAATGCCAGGTAGAGGCACCCAGAGACACAGCAGCAGAGGCTGCAGAAGAAAGGAAGAGTGTTGAACTGCCTTGTAAGAAAAAACACACAGTCCTACTTAGCCACCAACCCAAAATGAGCCCATTTAAACCCACACTGAAAGCACTCAGAAGACTTAGAACACCAGACAATACATACAAGAGGTCACAGCAGCCGATTCCCCAAGCCAGAAATTCACAGCATCAGGCTTCTTCCCTGTATGGTTAGGGAATAGAGAAATGCTGTCAGCAAAAAAAAGAAAGAATTTGAAATGTCATGTTTAAAAGTGTTTTTTAAATAACTTTCTGCCAAATGATGTCCTTTAACTTCCTTCATAACTATGCCTGGTTTCATTGCAAAGAGCATTCTGTGAGCAACTGCAGCTTCCTTCTACACTGGAAGCCACTGTAGCGCCAATCACACTTCATGACATCATACTATCCATCCCAAAACTGATGGTTGCAACCCTTTGCTTCCACATTCTGAATCCGTAAGACTCGGCTCACAGAGAAATTGCACACAGTTGCAAAAAGAAGATGAGATCATGGTAAATTGTTTTCCCTGACATTTTAAAGCCATGCTGCAAAATAGAAACCAACTGAAGCAGAACAGGGCTTCACTAGAAACAAACATCTGTAATTTTACAAAGGGGGTAGGGCTGTGTGTTGTTTCAATCCTTTGTTATGCTACTTTCAGTAGCAACAGCATGAATCTGAGTAGAAACATGACTCTACATCAGAGAAAAGCCTCTCTATGAAAAGAAGTGCTATTTGGCAATATCACAACATGGTTTCAGTTCCAATACACAACACAGATACTGATTCTAGAGTAATCCAAACCCAATATGTGGATCACTCTGTCTTCTACCTTCTAAGGGGATGAAACCAAACTGAGCTGTGGCATCCAGAAGAACAAGCATTCACCATGCACATAACTGTTTTAAAGCTCCACCCAAAGTATTTACAGAATACAGGAGAAATAAGGTTACCAAGTGCCTCACTCATCCATGGTATGTCAGGCTGCACATCACAGACCAGTTCAGGGAACTCCTCGGTGAGGTTTGAACACTGCTTCTGCACATAGAATACGTTGGGAGAGGTCACTTTCTTCTCCACAATGTCCAAAAAGTCTGCAAAAGGCATTTGGCGCTCCTCTGGCATGACAAAGCGGTCCTGAAACACGGCATCTGCATAACCATTTGGTGTTACTGCCACACTCACTACCTTGGGACCTACTACCTCCCTGCAAAACAAATCAAAGGTTTGCAGCCAGACCTACACTTGGCCCATCTATTGGACACTGGTTACTTTACAAACAACACATTACATGGGCAGCAAAAACAAGAAGCCTTTTTTACTGTCTGGCAAGGACTCTGGGGTTCTGCTCCAACTGCTCCCTGCAGTCAAGGGAGTATTGGAGTCAAGGGAGCTCCCTGGAGTCAAGAGTACTTCAGCCTCTCTTATTCCTCTCCTAACAAGCAAGTTCACAAAGGAGCTCCTTCTTCCTCATCTTCAGCAACCCTATCTAGTTGAAGATGCTCCTGCTCATGGCAGGGGTGTTGGACTAGATGAGCTTCGAAGGTCCCTTCCATCCCAAACTGTTTTATGATGATTCCATGATTCCTCCATGCAGGCAGAGGGCCCTCTGCAGCCACTTTTTTTAACAAATCATGGCAGAGCTTGATATTCTTGGGACCACTCAACCCAGCCAAATCCAGGTGGCCACATCAAAAGCAATCGAGGAAGAAGACGTGGACACAGACTGATAGATACACACATCATGAGGCTAACAGCCCTTAGTTCTGTAAGAGATTTAGCTTTAAATTCACAGATTCAGGTTTAACCATAAATCCCCTTTAAAGAACTTTTCTTTCAAAAATTCAGTTATTGTTAAAAGTCTCATTTTTCTGTTTTGGTTTCTGCTTTTTAAACAATTAGTACTCAGTTAAAACCGAGTCAGTCTCTTCTTCTATTCTACCACTAACACCCCACTCCAACTGGGGGGCTATAGGCTGGATGGGTTTCAATAGCTGTATTGCTTGTTTCAATAGTGTATTGCTGCACAGTGAGAAACCCATGCTTCTGCCTGCATGGGAGCTGGTCAGGACACAGTGTCTGCAGGAAGAAATTTACACAAGTTGGGCAAGGCTGAATACATTCATACATAGAAGCAGCACAGAGGAATCTGAGCTAATCTTATATGTAAAAGTGAAGATCAAGCAAGGGCCTCCTACTGAGGTCAACCGAAGCTGGCCACGAGTGCTGCTCCAAGGCTCATTCATACCTGAGGTATGCTGAGGTCCATTTCTGCAGGGCCGGCCAGTGGCTGACGGCATTCTGAATTATACAAGGCTTATTTGGACTCACCCATTCCCGATAAAACTCCAGCGGGGACGGAGGCCCATCAAGATAGGGTATGGACTCTGTCCACCCCAGCTCTGCGCAGGCAAATGACAAAGAGCTTTAGAGATCCTTAGAGAAGCATCCTCAGAGAAGCACCTCCGGCAAGCACACTAACAGGCTTCAAACTGCACACCACAGGCACTCCGCTCAAAGCAAGCCATGTCCTCTCAGCCCCAGAAACTGCTGTTAAAACCCAAAAGCCTTTAGGGAGGGTTTCAGGCCAGGCAGGTACACCAGACTACCGCTCTGCTACTCTCCTGCTGTCAGGCACAGCTCATCCCAGAGGCAGCCATGCTGTGGGCTGACGGGAGAGCGGGCATGATATATATGTATGTCCTTCACAGGACATGTTACAGGAGATGCACGTCTGACACAGACAATACCACAGGAGGGTATTTGGAAGCTGCGACAGTGCGCTGTTTTGCTGTTTCATACACAGGAAATTAACCCGAAAGGCCCCTTTTCTCGAGTTCAGCTTCCTTTCGCGGCAGCCTTTCTGCTGCTTCTTCACCTCAGGAGCATTCGGCCGAGAGCAGAGCAGGGCCGCGGCTGCTCCAGTTCAGCCCATGCCGTCTCCCAGGCACCCGAGGATCGCCAAGGAGGCGGCAGGGCCCAGCCCGGGCCCCACCGCCCGCCGCTGCCTCTCGGCCGTCCCCCATCGCCTCCGTCCCGCACCCCGGGCCCCCCCGCTCCCCGCCCGGCCCAGCGCTCACCGCGGGCCTCCCGCGGGAAGGCGGCCAGGCAGCCCCTGACGGCCCGCAGCGCCGCGGCCTCCGCCATGCCGCTGGGCCCCGGGGCGGAGCGACAGGCCGCGGAGGAGGAGGAGCTGCCACTGCCTTCTCCTTCCTTCTCCTTCTTTCCCTCGGCTCCTCCATCCCCCGAAGCACCCCCAGGGCGCTGTAGGTCGCGCAGCAAAACCGCATCTCGGTAACAAAGGGTCACATTTTATTGAAACGTTTTAAGACAGGGAGTACAAATGAATACAGAGTTAAAAACAGCCCCCGGGGGAGCCTCACAGTGCAAAAAAAACCAACAAACGATTCGTAGTATTATTTCTTCCAGCTTAAAAAAAAAAAAAAAAAAGGACATTTAAAGGATTATTTTACCTAAAGCCAAAAGTATAAAAACACACATTTATAAATAAAGGAGGGATTTTGTCTTTGTCTAAGGGGTGAAGGAATGGGGTAGTGTTGGAGCACACGGCGCTTGCCTGGTGCCTCAGCCGTACACCAGGTATGCCGCGGGGACATGGCTTATTCCTAACGCTCCTGCCCCTGTAGGTTATCCCTACAGACGTTATCCCTATGGACACAGCTGCCCCCGTGCTATTCACACACGCGATCCAAAATACGGGACGTGCTGGTCCCTATCCAGAGAAGGGAGAACCTGCTCAGTAAGGGGCTGCGAGAACAACCTGTCTTTCCAATGAGGTTTGTGTCATGTAGTATCCTGGATGCTACACATCCGATGGGGTGGGGTGGGGGGAGACACCGCATACATGCATGAATTTGCCAATGGTGTTTAAATACCTGTATTTTTTCCTTATATATAATTATATACATACTCTTTCTTTGTTAAAAAATTAGGTCTGTATGTTTCTACTCTCGGGAATAAACGCCCCAATTCCTCTGAGTCACAACAGAGTCTGCAAAACGGGGGACTGGGGAAGGTGCTGCTCTAAAGCCCCAGCCATGAGCCTGGGAGGTCGCATGGAATGGAGAGGACAACCTGAGAGAGGAGGTGGGAGAAACACAAGACTCCCAGACACACAGCTCCTGGGTGCTACAAGGGATGGGGAGGAGGAAGGTGGTACCTGCCTGCAGCCCCAAGTAAAACAGAGTGTGCTGCCTTCTCAGCTTGCAGCCCTTCCTACTGCACCAGTTTGAGAGAGCCCAAGAGTGAAAACCCAGGGGTCCCACAGGCAAAGCAATACTATTTACAAGATGGGAAACAAAAACCCCAAACCAACAACTACTGTCATTTTGACCAGGAATGTTGGGTTGGAGGGGACAAATGGATGTAAAGAGGACAGGCAGGTCCAAATTATTTCTTCAGGCTTTACATTAAACAAGTAACTCATCTCAATAACATATCTGGTTGTGCCTAAGCTAACACCAACACAAATCAGTAAGAGGGATCACAACCTAGTAAGAGGGACAGACTCAAGCTTATTAACCTCCTCCCACAAGCCTCTTCACTTCCCAGGCAGTTTCATCACTCGGTCTTTCTCTACCTGGCCCAATGGACAGCCTGTGGTGAAACATATTCACAAGGTGCAACAAAATGTAACACATTTACGCTCTCTTTGTTCTGTAAACTAGAATTTTCAGGAGTACTTCCTACTGCCAGCAATAGGAAGCTATCAGGGAAGATTAAGTTGGATTTGTCTCAAAATATAAAGAGCAACACTTATCTCCTCACCACATATTATTAGCACCAGCATCTCCTTTACTGGACTTCTACTACTAAATTCGTAACATCCAAGCCGAACAGCTCATGACTTTGCCATTCAAGAAAAACTAGTTGCTTAGAGGACAGCAAATGAAGAAACAAGAGGCCCAACAGGACACATTTAAAAACAAACCCCTTCCAATTCATTCTCCAATTACAGATCACCACCTCACTCCTAAATCTACTTTCCTGAAGCTTTTCTGTACTATCTCTTTCACAGGTATTGGCTAAACGGTGTTCCTCAGGCCAAGACCATCTCTATTTCTACTCTATTTTCCTGAGTATCCTACATCTACCATTCTAATCTATTTTAAACTACACAACCTCCTCCAGCTGATCTACTTGCCCAACACTTCTCTTGCCATCATTCTGATCACATTTTACCTCTGGTTTCCCATATGCAGCTATGACCCCAAGCAAAATTGATTCCAGGAAGCAAACCCCACTCTGATCAGCTTAAGGACTAGATTTGCTTCACAAAACTCATTTCCAAGGAGCTTTATTTCATATCTCTATGCCATCGTCACTGGTTGTTGCTCTTTGCCTTAATGGGAATTCCATTCTTGCCACTGGCTTTTCCATATCATCTCTGACCCTTTTTGTCACTACCTCAATGGTTAATAGAATAGAATAAAATTGCACAGGGAGTAATATAAAAGACCCTCAAACCGTCATCACCAGTACCAAAAGATACCTGGGTTGAAGGGACTGCTATTTTACCTGAGTGTCTTGTGGCCCCAGTATTTCCTGTATACTAGGACATATGTTCACAGTCTGAAAGTGAAGGAACTAACCACCTCAAAAGCAAGCTTAACCCATACTAACTCCATCACAGACCCAACATGACTGCCACCGTACATTCCACTCGTGGCATCTTCAGCACGCCTTCTCACTCAAGGAAACTGCCAGAAATCTCTCCCCTGCTTTTCGACTTGCTCTCCTTGGCAAAGCCTGTCTGTGCAAGAGAAGCTGCCTACAGGACTGAGCACATGAACTGATTCAGCACACAGCGATGCTGAGACAGAACTAGAAAGCAACACTTTCAAAGGTTCAGTACAAGCCCATGGAAGAAAAGCTTAGCAAGGACACCTGAAACATGATTACGCAGTTTAACTTACAGACAGAAGGAGCTGGAAAGCTCTCAAAACTGCAGAGTATCCAGCCCTGGAGTTTTTCTGAATCCTACACTGGCCTGGCCTGCCCCGTATTAAAACGGGCAGCACTGCAGATCTCCGGTCACAGAAAGACAGAGAAGTCAACAGACCACATTTCCAAATGCCACGGGGTTTCAAAGAGATGACAGCCAGGACAGTAAAATGAAAGAAAACTGCTTCAAGCCTGTAATCTGTGGAACCAAGCGATGCCGCCTGGCTGCCTTCTACAGTGACTTCCACAGATGCTAGGAGTCTCTCTCCTGTGAAAGCTTGCTGCTTGCATCAGTTTTATCAACTGGGATCAGTTTTATTAACTTGGATTACTGCCTTAAGCTAAATACAAGTCAGACTGGAGATGGAGGAAGAAATAAATAATTTGGGGTATCTGACCCTGTTGTGGAAAGGAGTGGGGCTAAGGAGGAAGGTGCTGAAGAATTTCATTGGTTTCAAATTGTTTTTTCTTAGTTTATCATTGCCTAAAAAAGCTCACATCACTGGACAGTTTTACACCAGAACAAACACAAGTTAGCATGGGCTTCGAGAAGCTCCACAGGCTGAGAAGAGTATTGCACATACAAACGCAAGAAGGGAAGATTTTCTACTTCTCAGACCAAGAATTCATGAAAATCAAAGAGGCTGGGGAATGGGGAAATGGTGGTAATCACATCCTAAAATATCTTGTTTGAAGTTCTCACAAAACTATTCTCTGTGGGTAGTTGAAATAGCTTTAACAAAAGATCTTGGGATGGAAATACTCTGTTTTCCTAGAAAAGCAAGAAAAACACCATTTTCCTGTCACAGTAGAATGAACAAATGCCATGGATGAGCCGCTGCACTGAAGATACCTCAAATCCAGAGTTACACTGTAAAAGATGGAAACCAGCTTTTCCATGTCACTTCTCAATAAATAAATCATCAGCTCAAATTTCCCAGTTACAACAAAGTCAATATCCAATTCCTATTCATGAAAAGTGGCTGAAACAAATGTCCATAATCGTATCCAAATCCTGTTTTTAAAATGGCTGCAGAAAACCCAGTCATGAAGCATCAACATAATGCTAAATTCCAGATTAAAAATATCACTACTGAATTCATCAATAAATCTCCAAAGCATGGTCCAAGGGTTGCAGAACCTTCCCCCAGAGGTGAATGCAGATAAAATACAGTGTGGGGACTGCCTTGAAACAAGAGAAAAGCAGACAGGGTCGTTATGACAACAGGAGGATTACTCTAGATAACAAAATTGAGGCAGGAAAAGAAAGAACAGCAAGACAAGATTTAAGCAGAAAACAGTTCATTAATTGCACAGACACTCCAGCCTGTCTCCCTGTTGGGGGTTTATAATACAGAGATTGTTTCTCGCTGGGATATGGGAAAGGGATTGACAGTTTTTGTTAAAGGACAAAGATAATGGCCACAAATGTGACACAGAGCAACAGTCAGAAAAATAAATTAATAAATAAACTCATTAAAAGGCTGCTTCTTGATTCTCATGAAGCCTTGGAGAAGGGATTGGCTTAAACTGGACTTCTTTGTGTTTAGTCAGCAGTTCAGAATTTCTTGGATAGCTTGTGTGGCACTTTTTCCTTAGGTGCCACCCAATCCTGACCTCCTGGCTATGAAGAAATCTCAAGGCAATTTCTCCAAACTCCTCTTTCAAGATTTTGTCTAGAGACAGGAAGCTGAAGACCATTGGGAGAAAAAAAGTATCAAAATTGTGGCCAGCACATTGCTAAGAATTAGAGCAAGTCAGTTGTAGGGGCTTGAGGAAATCAATTTCTAAAGGTCTCTCCACCAGCCCTAGAGCAGTGTGATGATAGCATCAGTCTGAAGCTCTCTCTGTGGTCCTCTTCTTGGGATTATCTCTGTGTATTCACAAACACCCGAAAGCCACCCCTCTTAGAGTTTTTTGTCCATGCGTCGTTCCACAGCTTGTAGCAACAGCTCTGAGTACTGTTCCAGCAGAGCTAGTGTCTGCTGATCCCCCAAACTCTTGGGACTTGGTAGATTGGCACCACATCCCTCATTTGATGGAGCAGTGGTATCTTGTGGCTTTGTCAGTACCTCCTTAACCTTTGGAAGCTTTTCCTCTTCCTTCAGAGAGTCCAGTTCTTTCTTCATTGAGGAGAATGTTTCTGTCAGGAGGCCTGCTATTTTATCTTTGTCAGTAGAAGACTCTGTATCATTTAACACCTGGAAACATAGAAGAAAAGGAAAGGATGTATTGGGATTTAAGTT